GAGGGGCGACGTCACCGCGCAAAGGAGGTGGGCGCGCCCGCGACGCCGCCCCTCGCTCTCCTCTCCCCTCCCCTCGCCAACGACTCAGCTGGTCACGAGACAGGAGCGCTTGCTTTCGTGCGTTTACCTCAGGGCCGCGCGTTCGAGACACATTTGCCCTCCCAACTAGATAAACGATTCTCCCCCCCCCCCGGATTTCGTTAGAAGAAAGGGCTCTTGTTCCCATTTTCTGCATTATTGTTATTATTAGTACCACGAATTGTACTGTACTGTTTATTCGTTTAGTCACAGTCGGAGTCCTTCTGTCATCTGTAAAAGACGCACACATCCTGTTGTTAGGTTCAATTAAAGTAGACCCATTGCCTCAACTGGAGGCACAGCGTGCCTCCAATAGAGGCAATAAGTGTTGCTCAGCAACTGATTCAGTAGGTCTGCCTTCAGTCGGGTATAGCAATGCTGCCGGCCAAAGGGGACCCGCCGAAAATGAACATTTCGTTGATGGTCGTGGTTCGAGCCAACTTCACAACCTGGGAGCAGAGTCAAAAGTTTATGCTCCACACCAGGTGATTCGTTCTTTCTGGATTTTTCTGCAGCTAGTTCCCTCCAGAGAGCTATTAAAATAAAAGTATTAAAAATAAAATTAAGTTATCCGGACAAGTTTGGGGGTTATTAAAACACGGATTCCCCCCCCCACGCACGTCCTTGAGTATCTTCTCCCGAAGTGTTAAGGGGAGGGAGGGTTTAAGTAGGGACAAAACGCGTGGAGAGGCTTAAACACCCTCCCACGGCTCCAAAACCCGATCTCCCACCGCCATGGTTGCCGAGAAATAAATAAATTTTATCCACGACCTCCTCACCTGAAGGCTAGTTTGGCCCTACACAGCCCTGCTCATCCCTCACCTACTAATGGCAGCTTGCAGCAATAGCAGATAGGGACAGTTACGTCAGAACTGCAGCTCGAGAGAGAAGGCGAAAGCCTCCCTTTCCCGCCTACGCGCCAATGCCCCGAACTGATTCGCTTTCCTCTCCAAATGTAAATGAAGGGACAGATACGTGAAGCGTTTCACGTCTAGTCTAAATCGGCCTTCAAGTGAGCACCACACATGCATGACGTGAGTGAGAAGTACAGGAAGTCAGGCTATCTCAAAGTGCCGAAATTGCTATTTTTTAAATTCTGTTTTCTCAACTTTCGTCACCTTCCTAAATCAATTTCTCAACGTGACATGAAATTTCAAGCAATCCACAAATAAGGATCATCCGTTTTCTGCTAGAATTTTCAGCTTGCTTTAACAAAACAAAACAGAACAAAACAACTCCCAGGCTGAAACCCAAGTTGAAACTGGGACGCAAGAGGTATCTGGATTTGATGAGTTGGAAACAGATCCTAGCACGATCTTTACTTCCCTTGGAGTCCTCAGCACTGCTTATAAGAACAGGTGATTTCTTGGTTCAAGGAGTAACTTATAAACCTGGGTGCTTACCAGGCACAATGTGGATTGAAGGCTTGTCAGATTTTTGACTGAGTGGGGCAGCACTCCTTTTGAAGTTTTGGGTTGAATCTTTCCTGCCCTCATCCACAAGTTAATCCCATGCAGAGTCATAAGGAAATTGTTTTTTCTCTCTCCTTTTAATATATAAATAACGTACAGATATGTTGTTCAGTATTCTCTGGAGAGCTGTTCTAACTCTCCTATTTCCTTCTTTTCAGTTTTACTATTTTTCTGACATTGTTTCTTCCATAGCCATGGTGGTTATTCTGAAGATGGAGCAGAACTTGTGGATACTTACCTTCTCTACCTCACATGTATGATAGCCCAAACTTGAAAAGGTGCAGCTGCCATCTCTGAATGCTGGTGGAAATTCTTGTTTCTGATTTCTTCCCCCTTTTATTGTTTAGCTGTCAGACACAGAGATCTAGATGTCATGAAAGAAAATGTGGTTCAGATTGTAAGAGTTACCACTTTAAGCAGACTTTGCTTCCACTATCCCTTGAACTTTGTATCTAATAGCTGAGTGGAAGATAGAATCTACATCCCCTTTCATAATGTCTCATTTGGCTCCAGCAGAGGCTAGTGACTTTGATGTCATAGAACTACCAGATATGTTCCAGGTTTCAGTCTGAACTTAAAGGACCTATTTTGGATAGCTCCTCCAAGGTTTAAATTGAAATCCATAACTGATTCACTTGCACTGAACCATTGGTGTCACCACCTTCAACTGCCTGGCTCTTCTATTATTCCTCAAAATAGATCTGGAGTCTTCCCATTTCTCATCTATAAGGATTTAGTTTCTTTTGGTCCTTCCAGTCCTACTTAACTTTACATTAAAATACTGTAGTCAGATGCTATTGTGTCTTGACTCTGGTGATTTACAGAGCCAGCCCAAAAAGGCTAAGTATAATTCTACAAAATCGTTCTGTACATTTTCACTTGGTAGCAAGTTCTACTAATTTCAGTGGGACTTGCACATCAATAAGGTCGCATACAACTGCAGATCGGTGGTCCAGTCATATGCATATTTGCTGTAACTAAATCTCACTGACTATAAAATAATTATTTCTAATTAATCATTGGAAGAATTGTTACCAATGTGCAGCACCCTAGAGTCCTTGGAGTTCTGAGGTTGCAGTTCAAAACACACACATACAGACATTCAGATATAATGATGGGGTTGGCTTTTTAGTCAATATATATATAATACTACACTGATTTCAATATACAGTAACTGTGAAAGTCTGCCTTAGCAAAATAAACCTTTTTAAAACTAAAATCAGAGACACTGTCTTCACTTGCCTGAACATGTCTCCTTCTTCAGAATTACCCATCATGTATTTCTAGCTAGGGGAAAATTTCATGGCATTACACAAATTCTGTTCATCTGTGTCCGTCAAGGTAGTATAAAAGTGTGGGGATGCTCCTCTTGTCTTGATTCATAAAATTTACAAAAGTTTTAAATAGTCTGCTGAAGCTCAAGAAACAGTAACTCTTGGGGGTCATGGAAAACTGGGTGTGTCCACTGAGCAGATGGTGTTCCCTTCAAGGTAAACACGCATCAAATGGAAACACAGTTTTAATAAAATGTAACATGGGGTGGGTGGGGGGACAATTCCTACTTATCTTAGCAGTTTGAACACTTTCATTTATTTTGTCTTCTTTGACCTAAAGTAACATTTTTCCTTTGAGTAACATCTTATTCTCTTTGTTTTTGCTGTCATTGTGTTACACAGTAAATCAGTGGGTACTCTGTTGTTGTGCCATCAACTTTGTCCAAATCCAAAATCTAAATCTAAACTGAAATGGTCTGATTCAGACTGATTTGTATGAAAGCTTGGTTACACATGGAAAAAGCCTTATTTTTGAATTGGTTTTAGCATATTTAAAATTGATTGTAAAAATTCAGACTACATGACACACAGGGAAGGTGGACTTTTTTGCCTTGGCAGTGTGTTTTTGGTAGAAAAGTGAGGTGTTTTACTCAGCTGCGAGAGGATAATTAATTTTAAATGGTTTGTGAATGCCTGTGTCCATGTACATTGTGTCTGTGGGGTTGCTAATCACTTGTGTGCCTTCCATCTCACCAGCCCCAGCAACCTTTCCTTCTCTATCTGTGTGTGTGTGTGTGTGTCCCTCCTTTGCAAACCTAGAAGCAGCCAATCTAGTCAATGTCTCTGGTCAGTTTTGGTTCTGTGGTTCCTTCTCCTGTGCCCCCTCTCTCTCTCTCTCTCTCTCTCTCTCTCTCTTTCTGTGTGTGTGTGTGTGTGTCTGTGTCTGTGTCTGTGTGTCTGTGTTCCTCCTCCACATGCCAAGAAACTGCTGATGTAGTCCATGGCTCTGGTCAGTCTTGGTTGTATGGCTCCCTCTCTTTCTCCACCTTCTGTGGGTGTGTGTGTTGGGCTGCTGCAGGAAAGCCTCTCTTTAATTTTTTTCTATCAGTCATACTGATCCAGATTACAAG